AGAGGGGAGTGTGTGCAGTTGTGTGGAAGTCACAGGAGCCAGCTCACCTACGTGAAAGAGCTGGAGGTGACTGCTGTGCGCAGGCCTGGCTAAGGAGAGGCAGTGACATCTGGGGCGTATTTCGCAGCTGACAGCGTCTTTAGGATGGATACCCTTAGGGGTGCCGCAGTGGCTCATTTACATGGAAAAGGCTCTTTGACACCTTATGCAAAACTGAAATACAATTGACTTCTGATAGTTCCATTTCTATACCTCATGTTGGAGGGGTTGAAATTCTTCCCTTTTTGTTGGTACAACACATTAAGCATGAAAGCAGGAACTTTGTTGCTGAAAAGCTCTGCTGCTCTGACTGTTTGTTTGCTAGCAAAGTTCCCATCTTCTGTTCATGACATACAGCTGGCGGGTATGGCAATAGATGTGATGTCACGAACTGCAGATTATAGCTTCAGGTAGGAATAAGTTACAAAGAACAGATGGGCTTGCATTCTACTTTCAAGTAAATGTTCATTTTAGTATGTGAAGTAAAGTTCTTTTAGAACGTGAATTAATAAAGTGAAGGAAAAAAAATAATGACAGAGAGAGGCATATTTTCTGTGTTAAAAATGTCCCTGTTTGCACCTTTTACTTTCCAATAAATGAAATTTTAAAAAATCATATCAGGAGCAGAAATGATTTAATTAAAACACCTTGCAGAAAATGCTTTTTGAAGGTGACAGAGGATACAAGAGATTTCTGTACAAAAGAGATCAGGCCTCCAGGAAGAAGCCCTAACATTTCTAGAATTTTTGAGGGGGTGGGGGGAAGGAGAAAGGACAGCTTTTTTTTTTGGCGGGGGGGGGAAGGAAGTGCATGTTCATTTTTCTGCAGCCAAAGGGCTGAGTGTATTTTCTCTTGAGTTTGATTGTAGCTTCAGAGGAGTCCTGATCAGCCAACTACCCCTTCTGATGGTAGAAAGTAATGGGGTGCTCTAGGCAGCTCTGATAGGCACTGACAGATATGTCTCTGCTTCTCTGCCTCAAAGTTATTTAGACTTGTAAGGAAATAAAAGGAAATAATAAAATTTAGCTTAAGGCTTACATACAAAGGTCTCTTGTGTTATATTAGCCTATTTAGCTGATTGTGTTCTTGTGAACTGTTTTTGAAAGGTTTGACTTGTGGCACTGCATGTGTTTCGTCGTTACAAGGCTTTTGAGAGAAAAGGCATGAGCTAGACTGACCTTGCTAAAAGTTCACAGTGAGAAGTAGGAGAATTTCTCAATCAAGTCTAAAAGTGAAAGGATTAGTGGACTCCATCTTGATGGGGTAAAACCCCACACTCTGTCAGGGGTACTTGTGGAGTAGGTGAACCATAACTCTTGATTTGGGGTGTAAGCATAAAGAATGGTCAGTCATGTTTTCTATCCGATACCAGCCAAAGGGAAAGGAAAGAAAAAGATACCTAACTTGCAATTTGTTTTTTCAGGTCTGAATCCTCTGAAGTAACATAAAGCATCATAACATATGTATCATATGTGATGAATTACATGTTTACACTACTTTATACACTGTAAGCAATGAATGCAGTGTGGGAAATGTGTTTGTTTCCCACCCTTGTCTCCCAGGGAGTAAGTGACAGAAGGGAGAAGTGTCTCACCCCAGGCCTGTGCTGGGCCTGTGGCAGAGCCAGGATCAGGCTGTTAATCCCTGCAAATGTCCCTTCTGCTAATGCGGTCCCTGCCTGGCACTTAAGTGGGGTGGTGATGATGAGAGAACAAGTTTCACTTGGTCCCTCTGACCAGGTCCCCCATCTGCTTGCACTGTATGCAGCTGTCTGCCACTGACTGTTGGAGTCACACACAAACTCCAGGGATGCATTGCCTCTTCCCCCACCACTTGTCAGAGTGAGGCACTTTCACAAGTAGTCTGGCAGTTTCCAACACGTTCTTGGTGCTCTTGATGTTACAAGAGCTCTTCTTAAACCCTGCTTTTTTATTTCTTCTGTTATCCCCTTGCAATCTGCATACACTGTGACATCTTCAAAACATTTGCATTGAAGAGGTGGCCTATTGCCCATTGACTTTTGGTGAGCTCATTTTGCTCCCTTCTTTCTGTCCACCTGTTTCTCCTTGTAAAGACTTCGGGAGAATGAACAAATGTTTTGTTGTGGGTGTGCAAGGTGCAGTGAGTTACTTTTGGGTTTGTGGCTTGTAGATACTGTTGACTTAGGAATAGCAATGGAGCCAGAGTGGAACAGCTTATGTTTGGTTGCTGCATGATTATTTGAGTTCTTGACTGGGGACAGTGCTAGTGATGCATCATCAGCGAAGGAGCAATTAAAACTTGGTTTGTCAGGTCCCTTGGGGCTATAGGCATCAGATAACTATGTCTTTCTCAGATGTTACAGTTGCTATTTTGTGTCTCCGCAGGGTTCATTGGTGATGGCACGAAGGGTCTTGAAACTTGCCTCGTTGACAGCAGCTGCTTCTGGCATCTATCTTTATGGAAACAAGTTCCTGGATCCCAGTGATTTTGGAGTTGTTCGTGTGGGCCGAACCATTGCCACAGTAAGTTTCACCCTAGTAATGTGCAGGAAGACTTCTAGGTGGGTAAGAGAACTTGAGTTCACAATAACTTGTGACTTCCTACATTCCTTCTCTGCATTTCCACTTGGCAGCTGGCTCCAGGAGTCAGAAGGTCAATAGCGAGCTGTTCAAGTTATTGACACAGTGAAAAGAGGTGAAAGCATATGAGGAATAGAGCTGTTTGCATGTTTTGGAAAGAAACAAAGAGAGATACTGGGCTGCGGAGAACTGTCTCTGCTTCCCTGTATAGGGCGGGGCCTTCGGAGCAAGGGCTTACTTTGGCCCCTCATCTTCATCAGCTATCCTTCAAGGTCAGTCACCCAGGTGTGGTGTCCTGCTGCCTTTAACAGTGACCTACTTCAAACTGTCTTGTCTGCATATGCCAGTTTTTACACTGGAACATTCTGTTTTAAGGATCGTGGTTGTTGCATTCATATGGCACAGTAGCCATTGCCCCGTGACCCTTAGCATGAGAGATTTGGGGAGAGGAGAGCAGGTGTTTTGAGGATCATTTTCAAAGCAAGGGTAAAGCTAGGATGTGTGATGATGTGCTTCTGAGATTGGATTGGTTTCTAGATTCGTAAAATAAATGCCACATCTACCTGTCGCGCTGCTATTTCACCCTTGTGGTCACTAGTGTAGAAAACCTGAGATAGACTGCCAGCCAAACAGGTTGCTGCCTTCTTCTTGAGGATATTCACTGTTGAATGCATTAGCAGCCAGGAACAAGGAGAGCAGAGGCTCTGGAGGGGCTATCGGTCTCCCTCTACCTCACTTGCATTATACAGCTGTCACTTCAGGCCATGATCTCTATCATTTACAGACCCTCAGTGGTAAGCAGCTGTCAGTCTGCATGTTCTATGACTTTTAAGCACTTTATTAATGAGTTTTACAGGGAGTCAGCTCCTGAGTGCAGATACAATAAGAAACAAGCTCTGTGGGTTGGCTAAGGTGCTGTGCTGCTTATGTGTGCAAGCTGCACCATGAACTGTTGCGAAAAGTGATTATTTATTTTGAAAGGGTGAGGGCAAAAATACAAACTATAATCTTTCCTTCTCTGCCTAGTAAGTGCTAAGCTTCATGCTCTGTCCCTGTCCATAAGGCAATGCTGTCTGGTGGCAGGGAGCAGCCGTCTCCTTTTTACTGCACAAGAAACTGAGTCATGGAGAGGGAACACAGCTGATGATAGCTGAAGGGGAATCTGCTGTTCAGGCTGTTAGGGTTCTCCAGTCTGCCCTTGAGTTCTGTCAGCTTGTCCACTATTTCTGGGTCTTTCTTGAAGCCAATGTTTTTGTGGCTGTCTTCTATTTAAGACAAAAATAAGTGAGAAGTGTGCAATGATGAAGCTGTGCAGTTGGTCTGTGTTTTGAGGGACTGTGAGAGATTGCTTTCCTGATGAATAGGAAGTAGGGGAAATGAGATTTTCTTTGCTTTAGGTGCTGGTGAATCTAGACATGTTGGACTTTCATGTCCTCTGCCTTCAGGGAACACAAGTCATGGGCTGTAAAACACTTCACTGGCCCTGCTCTTAAATGCATTAGAGGGTTCTGCATCCATAGGTGCAAGCAGTGACCCCCAAAACCAAGTTACTGTAGACTTTTCAAACAAGAATTTTCTGTCCCATTTTGAATTCTGTGTTCCTTCTGATAAATAGTACTCTGTATAGTTAGGTTGCTTCTGAGAGATTCGTTAGTCCTGCTGCACCAGTGGTCTCTGTCTTCCCATCTTGGGTTCTGTTCCTTGTTGGAATGACAGGTAGCTTTCATCTGAGCACTGGCAGCCCGAACTGCTCTCATTTCTTAGCCATAGACTGGGTGAAGCCAATAGAGCAGTTAATTTGTAAGAAGCCTAGCTTCTTATAGAATCATAGAATGGTTTGTGTTGGAAGGGACTTAAAGATCATCTAGTTCCAGCTGCCTGCCATTGGCAGGGACACCTTCCACAAGACCACGTTCTCAAAGCCTGGTCCGACCTGGTCTTGAACACTTCCAGGGATGGGGCATCCACAACTTCATTGGGCAAATTCTCAAGCTTTCTCTTTTTCTAAATGAAAGTTGAGACTCTGTAGCAAACAAGTGACTTCAGATATTGGTGCCATCTCCATGGACCTGAAACATTTGTCCTTCAATCTAGCCTTGCCCAGGCTTCTTACCTGGTTGCTTGATTCAACGGTTGGACCATAGCCAGGCAAAAGCAGACTGTAATTAAGAGCTGTAATTCTTGTGAGCTAAATTCAACACAAAAAATTAAGATAAGTTATGGTGTGGTAAAGAAAAGAAAAGCCTGGGGAAAAGAACACATGGAGGTCAAGAAGCCTGACCTAGAACTACAAGACTCTGGTCAGATTTTGGTCTGAGTTTGATTAGAAAGATTTGAGCCTGCTTACATTTTAAGCATGCTGCTTCAGTAGTCCTTCAATAACTTTCCTGAGAAGCTTGAAGAAGTGCACTAACAGAAAATGCCACCTTGAGCCTCAGTTTGGGGAACTGGCTCTTGCTTATGTGTGCGTAGACAACTATTCAAGGGGAACATTGTGCCATGACTTGGTGAAATCTGGGGACAGTTTTGGGAGTGGTGGAAAAGTGTAAGGGGTTGAGAATTCATTGATAAAAAGTGGAAGCCCCAAGTCTTTGGGACATTTTACACTAGTCTGGATACAAGATCAGTTAAAGAAGTAATCTGACATTTGTAAGGGGAGGGACTGGTTGATCTTTTAGATCTTTTTATGCCTCCGAGGTTCAGTCTTGCACTGTAACATACATGACAAGCACTAGTCTTGGATGAGAACAAAGGTAATGGCATGGACCGCCACATTTTTCAGATAGTTTCTGTGTTCTGGGAAGACTAGAAACCTGGTAGAGCAGTTGTGCATTTCCCGTATTTCTTAGAGAGTATCCCTGTTGGTCTGGTGTGGTGGAAGGAACATTCTGTGCAGTAGCTGGAATACGTCTCAGACAGTAGCAGGGATTTGGCAATGTCAGAGTTGCCTATCAGGATCATCATAATACTAATTTAGTGTTTAAGATTACGATGTAATTAGCAACTGCTTAATTAATTCCCTCTTCCTCTGTAATACAGGCCAATCTGTTAGTTGCTTCTTTTCAAGTTGGAGGTGATAATTACCCTCGTGGACCAGAGATAAAATAAGAACCAACTCAAGCCTTCATGCAAGGCTGATTTGAACCTCCCTGCACTTCAAAGTTGGTTTTTGAGGTTGTAACGATGCTTTGAAAAGTTTTTCTTCTGAATGGGTGTCTGTGTAGCTGTGCAGCTCCTGAGCTGACCAGGGGCAAGAGAGCCTCAAAAGCCATAAAAAAAAATTGCTGTGCTCAGTTTCCAATTCAGAAAACAGGAAACGTGAGAAACCTAACCTCCACAGGGAAGGAGCGTGTCTATCTGTAACTCATTCCCGGCTTTTTACCCTCTTGTATGCATTTCTGAGCTTTTAACTGTTTCCCTGTTGTCAGTTCCAGTGAGTTTGTCTCAGGCCAGATTTGATTCCATTACCTCCCCGTCTTTCATTATATGTCAGCTGTACCTTATGCCCTTCCTAGGCATGTTTGTAGTGAAAGTTGGGGCTAGTATCCTGTCCCGGAATGGGATGCTACCCCTTCAGCAGGGAGATTTTAAGAAACCTGACTTTATGGCAAGTATTTTGAAGTTCAAATGGCAGGTTAGTGGACAGTCTTATCTAGATGTACATTCCCCTCTCTCCCTCCAACTAAACTTAATAAACATGACCTATGTTTCTGTTCTGTTTGCTGGCATTCTGACTGTGGAAAGAGAGGAACTTTAATCATGGGGCAGAATTGTGAAATAGCAGACCCATTTTCAGAAATCATTAAGGCATTTAGGAATCTGATTCCATTGTCTGTGGCTGTGTCTAGCTAACATGCTTTAGCTGCATCCCCATATTGTTACTTTGTAATTGGGTATCTGACCCTTTGGCCTTCTAGTCCTTTGTGCAGTTGCATATCCCCAGAAGTACTGCTGCTGTGCTAATGGGTGAGCTTGTCTACAGTCACTCTGCTCCCTGCTGAGCCATCTACCCAGACTAAGCTCAGTGCGCACCGGTGTGATTAGACAGGTTGGAGGTATGAAGGTGAAGTGCAGGATAACTCATGGGACACAAACAAGGTCTGCATGGCCTCTGTTACTAGTGGAAGCCCTAGATGGTTGACTGAGAATTGGAGTCTGCTGTTTAAGGTGCTGTACAGAGGTTATGAAAATGCTTTGAGCTTCTCAAATAGGAGATGTTATATGAGTGCCAAGTGTTGCTTATTTTTAATAGCTACATGTCAATGAGGTCCCTGCACTGCTTTCTATAAATGTTCAAGTTAGATATAAGGAAGAAGTTCTTTAAAGTGGGGGTGGTGAGGCACTGGAATGGGTTGCCCAAGAAAGTTGTGAATGCTCCATCCCTGGCAGTGTTCAATGCCAGGTTGGACAGAGCCTTGGGTGACATGGTCTAGAGTAAGGCGTCCCTGCTCATGGCAGGGAGGTTGGAACTAACCGTTCTATGATTCTATGAAGTATTTTATTTTAATTTTTTATGTGTCTGTTACCATAAGCCTCACTGTGGAGCCTAAACTTGGGAGTCTAAGCTGCATATATTCTCTTTAACAGAAGTTTTGTTGTTCTGATAACTGCAGAGCTTGCTCAACATTTCTGTTTTCATTTGCAGACGGCACTTATCACCTATGACTACCTCACCTCTCTTCGGAGCGTCCCGTATGGATCAGAGGAGTATGATTTCCTCAAATCACAGGTACGTGATAGCACTGGATTGTGTTCCTTGGAAACTCTGCAAAGCACAGGTGTGTTGCCAAAGCCACTGCTGTAAAGCAAACCATCAGGTTGTCAGGTTAATAATTCAATATGCCTTCTTCTACCAAATTGTTGACAGCAAATGAGATAATATGTGCTGCATATGAGATCAGATTCTTGCAAGACCTGCGTTGCCTGCTGGAGAAGGTCTCTTGTCAAGTGTAGCCACCTGCAACCAGTGCCCACTTAGGTCCATTAGAGATTCAAGTGCTTGGTGTATGGGGTAAGATGCATTTGGGCTCTGTCACCAATTCTCTACTGCCCAGACTGGTTGTGTGGAGGTCAGCTGTTGAGAGGGGGCTGGCAGTAGTTTTTTTATTCTACACTTGCTGGTTGGTAATGGCCATAACATGAAGATTGAGGGATTTAAGTGAAAGGAGTGTGTTGGAAGGGAAATAATAGAGATGAATAAGGCTTAAGCAATAAGAATTGGGCAAAGAAATGTACATCTCTGCAAAACACATTGTTGTGTTTTGATATCAATAATTTACATTAATAGAAAAAGCATTTCTAATAAGAAGGAGGATGAGTGCCCCTATCACTCCCCTCAGTCTTGTGGTGCACTTTTCATTCCTTACAATACCTTGAGCTGTGAGTGACACTGGGCTTTAGTCAAGTGCACGCGGTGTATGTAGCCAGGGTCTCTGCTATTCTGACTCAAGACCTCTTTGGAGTAGGAAATATGGCTTGTGCCAAATTAGGTCAGTCTGCATAGTATGTTTGAAGTAAGGTCTTTAACCTCATTTTTCTTCTTGGAGCTTGTAGGATTTAGGCCACTGGTGTGGTTGAAATGCATGGGATGGGCCCTCACTCAGACTGGAGGGACTCCAAAGCTGGAAACTGTGATGGGCCACATAGAAATTGGTGACATTGGACTCTAGCATGCTTTAGTATTCCTCTGGCAGAAAATCCACATTATCAGTATGGTCTTAAGAGTATTCAGGTAGTTTGCAGAGTGGTTTCACAGAATCATAGAATGGTTTTGTTTGCAAGGGACCTTAGAAATCTTCTGGTTCCAAATCCCCTGCCACAGTTTTCCTGGGCTTGTTCTCATCCTCTCCTGTCTATGGATGCTAAACTGTTCTGCTGTAGCTGCCTATGCCAGGTGAGAGCACTGATGCCCTGGCATAAACACGAGAGAGATGTGTTGGGATCTGGAGCTTCATTTTCCATCTGCCCATCTTTCTGCCATATGCCTTTGAAACCTGGTTTGCAGAAGGCTGCTTGTAGCTTTCTTGAGCGAAGCCCAGGTTACGGAGTTATCAGTGCTGTGGAGAGCTTGACATTTGGCAGCAGTTTGCAGCAGCCCTTGCAAATTCCTGACCTTGTGCCGTGTCTCTCCATGGCTTCATTAACCTCTGTCATGCAGGTTTTGATGGTTTGTCAATTCATGCCCCAGGCAGCCAAAAGGGGCCCTGTTTGCTGGCGCTGCACAGAGCTGTGCTCTCCCTGCTTGGCAGCCAGGGCTGAGTCAGCCTCTGCGCATGGCAGAGCCAGTGGCAAGCTCAGCATGACACAAGAAGACTCTGTGGCATGGCCAGCACTAGCCTTTGGCTGCAGGAAGGGGAATAAGCTGGGATATAGGAGGAAGTAGGTGCAGGCATAGCACCAGTTAGTAGAACTTGTTGGCCTCTGGAGACCTGTCCTGCTGTTGGCAGGTGTTAATGGAGGGCCGCCACTGAGCCTGATAGTGACAGCACTTGTGTGTTCCTCAGCAACATCCCTGTAGAGCTTGTGCTAGCAAAGCATCAGTTTGGGATGGGAAAATGTTTTGGACTTCGGCAGTTGCATGCCAAACCCTTTATCTCAGTGCAGCTCTAAGTGAATGGCAATCAAGTCTTTATCATCTTGCAGCTCTTTTAACATGTGGGAGCTGATTTTATTGGTCTCAGACTAGTACAGAATGACTTGTAAGAAGTTCCATTGGAGTTGGTACTAAAGATTAGCCACTGGATGGGGCCAAGAGGATGGGAATGCCCCTCCCAAGTAAGTGTTGTGTGTGAAGGATGCTTATCCAGTTGTTGCTTCTACTAGCCCATGTCTTGGGTAGATCTCTGGTGCTCTCAGCCATTCATTATACTCTTTGCTTTCTGTCCTTCCAGTGAGGCCAGCTTAAGCCCTTTTTCATATGCTGAGAATTTGGAGTTTTAAGTCTGTGTATGAATTGGTTACTGATATCCATCTTCACTTTTGTTACTGTACCTGGAAGAGAGATTCTATGAAGCATGGATCTGGTGCCCCTGGGACTGTGGATAGTGCCAGCAGGTCTGGGTGCAGCTGCTGTGCCTGTGGTCCCTTGAGCAGCTGCATGTGTGTCTGGGTAAGGCTTGCAGCTGGGAAGGGAAAAACACTTCTGTGCATCTCCTCCTGGTACTCAGCATACTGGTGGGTGCTACTCCAGTGCAAATAATGCTTAACTTGCTCTCCATGAATTAGCCATTAAACTAGAGACTCTAAATTACCCATGGCCTCAGAGGAGAGTTGGGAAGCCTTAGTGGTAGCACCAGTCCCTGAGCCTGTCAGGGCCAAACAGGGACATAATCATAGGAACAAATTACATGCAAAGTAGATTAAGAAGGAAATGGGTTCCCCATGGGTTTTAGCCAGGTTCCTGCTTAGCTCTAAGGGATTATCTTCAATATTACTCTATTTTTCTGTCCCTCATGGACCACATTTGATGCTAATGCTCTCAGCCCCTCAGTTCTCAGCACCTTTTTATGGCCAGCAGATTGGGTGTGATTTGTTACTTTCTATGAGGCAGGAAGTGGTAGCTGGGAATTCCCTGTGTGTCCCTGGGGTTGGTTTGCTTTCTCTGTTTCTCCCGTTAGCCAGGAGATGTGAGAACTCACCTTCCTGATGGCATTCACAACCCTTCCTCAGCAACAGCCAAGGGGAAAGAATGTATTATCTTTCCCATTCCTGACCCTACCTGTAGTAGGGATAAACCTGCATACGTGGTCAGGCTTTATCTCCATCCCAGTAGTTGCTTCGTCTCATCACTGGTGGCTGGACCAAGAAGGTAACTTGATCTTTCTCCTAAGTTAAGGGTCCTTATCTAGAGTGTCTGCCCTTCTCCTGCATATGATGACAGTGCCAATGTACTGTCATCAAGGCCAGTGGTAGCCATGGTTAGCCCCAAGACATCAGATGTCTGTAGGTCTAGTGTCAGGAGCATATGGGGAGGTAGTAACTTTCTTCACTTCTGCTTCATTAGATTATTCTGGCCATCTTTATACACGTAAGCTTGGGCGTGTCTTCCAAGTTCTGCCCCTTTTTGTGCTGGTTCAGAGGAGGAAGGAGGACAGCATGCTCAGTGCCGTTTCCTTTCCTACTGTTTTCTCAGCAAACCATTTTATTCTGTAGAGGGCTGCGTACCTCTGACATACTTGTGCCTTCTTGAGTGTTTGTCTCCTCAGCCTCAAGTCAGCCTACCTTGTGACATTTCCAGTGTTCCTTTTGTTGTACCACCTTGGTTGACACTTCCTATATTGCTGGCATCAGTTTCTTTTGATCCTGCAGTCAGTCAGGAGGTATCTTACAACATGCAGCTTATTTAAGGGCTGGCATCAATGGGATTCAAAGCCATTTTCTTTAGTAAGAGGATTGCAGTGGGTCAGTCATCTTGCAGATTTTAGCACAAGTGGTCACAGTTGAAAATCCTGAGCAAGGCATTTTTTTTTGTCATTTTCCTCTGTAAGACGAAAGGTTACTGCTGTGAATGTGGGTACAGGTTTTTGGGTTTTTTTGGTGGAGAGGAGATAGCAAGAAAAGAAAGGATCTGTGGTCAAGGTGTCTCAGGAGACAGTGGGAATCCATTCTTGAATTAACTTTGGCTACAGAATTGCTTTGTCAGGGAAAAGACCTTTGGGGAGGTTAATTAACTTTTCTCCTTTTAAGAACCAAATGAAGATGTTCTCCTCCTTCAAGCTCCTGGTTATTGGGCTGTCAGTATCTGGGCAAATATTCGGAAGGTGTAACCTTGTGCCATCATTATGCAGAATATGATTCCTTGCTCCTTGGAGGGTATCCCTGATGTTGTGTTTGCTTCTCCTGGTTGAGTGGGTGTTTCCAAATGAGCTGTGTCTCCCAGTGAAGCTGCCTGACTGAGGGATCCTGGAACAATAAGTGGTGGGTCTATGTGTGCATATGCTTTTCCAAAATAAGCTATGGTTTCTGGGTAGTTCAGACCAATGGAATAGCCTGTGTGTTTTGACTTCCCTTGTGGTTCCATAGCACTGTGTGCCATAAATAATAGGAAGTGATGTCCTAAAATAGTTTCTTCATGATGGAGGTGGACGGCATCTGCAGAGAGAAATCCCCAGGATCTCTCTGTGGCATTCCGTCAAAAAGGCAACTGTGAATGGAGACTGTGGGCTGTTCTACACCCACAGGTGTCTGTGCTTCAGCCTGTGGTGACATGGGGTGAAAAGAAGCAAATGAACTTCCCAATAAGACACAGAATAGCCGTTAGATGGCAGTGACTTTCTGTCACCAAGCTAAATGGGAGCCAGTAAAAGAGAGGTGCAGACCTTCACAACCCATCCATAGTCCCCGAGCTGATCTTGTTTGGTTGCCCTATTATGTGCTCCCCGGGATATCTCTTCATCTAAAAGGCATGGTTGACACTAATGTAGTCTAAAAAAGCTACTAGCAGGGCCAGCTGGTGGCTTGATGACTCTACATTTGGGCACTGCTGTCTAGCAAACTTCCTGCCAACACATAAAGTATGAAAGCTTTGCACTGAAAACACATAACAAGCTGTAAAATAAATCTTATAATTATAAAACACTTCCTTTTCCTCCTTCTGCTTTCTAGAGTGGTATCAGCTGAACATTCTGGCCACAGCATCTCTAGGTTTTAATTTTATAGCATTAGGAAGGTCCATTTTTTCTGGGATGTGTGCCTTTGAAACAAGATGTTCTTCAGTCATATGCAGTGTTT